CGAGAACTCATCTGGTGCAGTGAGTTCAGTTTATCCGTCTAAAGTGATAATGATGGTGGCACGCGTTTCGGTGGTAACCGAATGCACAGGCACGACAGGACCAGCAACTTCATGAACTTGGTCCTGGCCTTGATGCGAGCATCAAGTCCATGACGACGTTGGTGCCGGCGATGGCAAAGCAGAAATCAGCCGAGAGTGGTGTCCATATGAATGCTATCGCAATAAAGGTGCTTGAGACCATGACGCCCGCTGACGAATAGACGTAGATTCTGGCCAACCCAAGCCAGCCTTCCATCGATCAAGCGATTGTGGAGTGGTGTGGAGTGTGGCTGACCACCAATAGCCAGATCATGATTGACAGGCCACGCAGGGCGGCAACTGCCTGTGGAGCCCTGAGCTCAGAGCAGCCATGCAGCACTGCTGGATAAGACTTGCGGAACAAGCTGGCTCCGCACCGCAAACCTCTTTTCGTGCAATAAATGTTTTGTAGCGTGAGCTGCACTGCTCAGAATTCAGCAGTTTCGCGTGGCTTCCCGAGAGCCGTGCTGCGCATGCGCGAGGAACAGTGACGTCACACGGCGCACAGCTGCAGCGCCGCAGGAAGCCCGGTAGCTCCTGGAGTGACACGTCTCCACTGGGCTGGCCGGCACTTGGCTCGTGTCAGCTCGCTCGATAGTCCGTCCATCTGTCCGTCTGTCCATCCATAGCTCACGCTACGTATATCCTATAGCATAGCCAAGCTAAGCCACTGATGAGTTTCTTTTTCTTCCTTCCCTCTTCGTCCACTTGCCATCTCTTAAGTAGCATTCGGCTTGATCGCTGGCATCAAGAGAAAAAGAAAGCGTAAAGCGTGCGACAGATTCCTTAACTCCCCTCGTGCTAAACGTTTTTCAAAAAATGTTCGTAGCAGTCGACTTATGAAGCAATAAACTCCTTTAAGGAAGCCCTTAGTTGATCACTTGAAAAAGTGCTGCGGGGTGCTTCGAGCATTAGCCTACGTATCTACAGGTGGCATCTAGATGTAAACAAATTGTTCGCTGTTTCGTTTGGACCACAAGTGCTGAAATTTGTATTTCCATACACTATTTACAGCTTAAAGAATCTTTTCTGGCGAGCATCTTTAAGGTGTAGCAAATGAGCATGCGCGCTTTATATGACGCGTAAACATAACTAAGAGGCACCCAAATATTCCAAAGTTTCTAATACCTATAGACACACATGCACTGTTCGATAAAAAGAACGATTGCAATTCACAGGTGCTACTTCAAAATTAAAATATTCTTTGAGTATTTTGAGATGTCAACTTCATCAGCCAAAATATACAGAAAAGCTAATACAAATATGCTGTAAATACTAAAGGCGTACAACGTGATAGGTTCACTAGTACCGCAACTATCGCCACTCATAGAGCCGCGCGTTGCCAATTACACCGCGATCATTCAGATTCACTGACGAGTTCTGTTCATGTGAAGAATTTTCTCGTTTGTTCCTGGTTCTTCATTGTGGCTTCAATATTAAAATTAAGAGTTCTAAGACGTGACCCTTGTTTCTTATCAAATTCTAAAAATGTTCATTGAGTATTAGAAAAACATTCGCTTCCATTCGTTTCTGGCGTCATTCCTTTCGTATTTAACTCGCTCTCAACAATCTTACTTCGTGCACCCCTGAACACAAATAAGCATATATATAATTATAAGCGACACGAAATACTCGTGACACATCTGGAGCATTGTTCGAACGCTTCATGCTTGCATCTTCGCGCAAAAGTGTTGCCACCAAACCGTGGTCTCGACTTGGAGGCTGCAGCCCCCAGTGATTGCTCGTATGGCCTCTCTCTTCGTCAGTCCGCCCCGCCGTGGTGGTCTAGTGGCTAAGGTACTCGGCTGCTGACCCGCAGGTAGCGGGTTCGAATCCCGGCTGCGGCGGCTGCATTTCCGATGGAGGCGGAAATGTTGTAGGCCCGTGTGCTCAGATTTGGGTGCACGTTAAAGAACCTCAGGTGGTCGAAATTTCCGGCGCCCTCCACTACGGCGTCTCTCATAATCATATGGTGGTTTTGGGACGTTAAACCCCACAAATCAATCAATCTTCTTCAGTCCGAACAACTCGAGAACAGCGCCTGTATTGTCACAGCTCCGGAAAACACGGAGGCCGAGAACACGTTCATACATCTTTGTGTACGCATGCTCACCTTAGCACCGCGACATCGCTTGTTTCTTTGTTGTAAAATGCAACAGGAAGTCCCAGCGGACAAGGAAGCTGTTCCATGCGTCCTCTGATTGTCTGGTAAGTAACATTAAGTAGAACAATAACAGCGAGAAGCACGAAGGTGTGCTTGCAGGCGCGGTTGCGTCGTTTCGTGCGAGCTCTCTTTAAGCGCGAGCATTTCCCACACTACATTTGGGAATCCCAGTAGCCGGCTATTCGCGGCCATAGCAACCCATGGGCACGGCCTTTACGTCATCCTCTGTGCGTATAGCCTCCCAGAGAGACGCGCGAGTAGGCTCGCGTATTCAGCTTTGGGATATTTAAGAAGCCTTTGTTAAGGTCGAGAATGCGTGACGCAACGGTCTTCTTGAGCTACAAGCCGTTTTGCAAACGTAATTTCAGTTTTTACGCCCACTGAACACTTCTTACACCTGTAGCTGGCCCTTCTGATATTGACATGCCGGACTGAAAGAGCTCGAGCAGGCTAGGCGCAACTGAATACCGTGAAGTTTGGGCTGTTTAGCGCATCGCCGAACAAAAGCAAACAAAGGTAGAAGCAAAAGGGAGGACACTATAGGATAGCGTGAGCTCGGTTGTCTTGTCCTGTCGTACGCTTTCTTATGTTTGTGTATGTCCCACTGTCGGTCGTCGCAGTTGCGCTTTACACGTAAAAGTGCGCTAACTTCGACATATTTTAGTATTCCGTGACTACGAATAACATGTTTTACACTCAGCGAACCATACGACCTACACGACTAACATACCGGAGAAACAAACACGTTAACAGGTTTTGTTAATCGACAAGCGCTTAGAATACGAGGAGACATTGATTGACAGGGGGCTATATATGAACCTGAAGAATTTAATAGGTCTCGCCTCGAAAATTTCCCGTCTGAGCTGCTTTTAGCTGCAATCCAAAATCAAACATTGTTGGACACAAGGTGCGCAACCTGAGAATGAATCTATCCTCACTATTCAAGGTATCGAGTGACGTATATCAAGTGCACCATCATGCGTCGCTACAAGATCATTTTTCTTGTTCCTACTGACAGCAAATGCTCACGCAAAGTTTTGAAGGCTCGTAAAAGAAAGTCTTCATCATGGGAGGTCTGCGTGACTCTTGAAACGAAATTGCTGCGCCGCGACCATGCGTGTTCCTTTCGGAAGGTCGTCAGACTCGAATTTAGTACGTAATAACCCGTCCTCCCGCACCTGTGGCACTTACGGTGCATGATTCGAATAGTCCTCACGACGTTCATTGTGCCATTTCCTCGTGCGGCTGTCTATTTCTACCGTATTTAAGGCCTTGTTATCCCACCTGCGTTTTCCTGTCATTGTGCTGGATTTTGCTACGGCTATTTGTTTAATTCACCGTTGCTATGGTGTACTCTCTCTCTCTCTCTCTCTCTCTCTCTCTCTCTCTCTCTCTTATATATTTACTTGAGAACAAGAAATATCGAGCCCTAAAGCACCCAGCCGCAGGTTACCAGACGCGAGCTGTCTCATTATTTTCTGTTTCATTTTCAGTTTTATAGCTAACAACATATACTACCTTCCTATTACCACTTTGTGTATTCCGTTTCATCTCGCATGCGTGATTCTAGGTGCAATCAATTTGGGAATCCGGCGAATGGAAACGAGCGTTGCCAACCAAGAACAGAGGCCAATGTGAAAGGAAAAGAAATATCTCTGTGGACATATTTACGTGTGGCGTCACGTACACTTCACTATCCGCGAGAATCACGCCAAAGACTCTACCGCGTCGCAAGTATAGCGTGTGGTTTAATGCTTCCCATCCACTGCAGTGCTCAGCCAAGATTAATTATTCATTCTCATCAGCCACATGCAGCATCAACCAAGCTACAGACATGTAGCGGTATACCTCACTTATCAGCGTAAAGACGAATAATGGCGTAGTGGATGCTGTCCTGCTTCACAAAAGTTATGGTAACAGACGAACTTTACCGTGTTTTCCCCCAACCGCTTATGCACCAGCCGCTGTGGGTGCACGACTTCGCAGGCGTAACATGGTGGAAGGCTTTGCGATCACAGCAGTGACAAATTCTACCGGATATCAGCATTTATTATATCCCTGGCGGATATCATCTTGTGAACACGTAAACTAGAACTGTCAATTACGAGGCTGTGCTGTCGGGTTCCGAAACTGAATTTCTACCAACATAGGTGTGATCAGGCGCCTTCTTCATTGTGTGCATTCTGTGGCGAGCCGGAAACTATCGATATTTTTTGTTTACCTGTAGGTGATTTACTATATGTCTAAGAACCCAGTTAAAAGACTTTTACGTGCAACTGGAATGAATTGGAAAAAGACCTTTCAATTTATGGCCAATCCCTTAGAGTGGGTGTGCACCACAGTAGAAAGCGAACGAGAACTATTCATGGCGTTGTCGATACCTTGCGGAAAGCGAAAACTTCAATCACGGCAAGTTGACCTTGCCCTAACACGAAGCTGTGCTCTGAATTCGCATTAGCTATATCTTAATTGTTGGTGATATTTTCTTTTTTCTTCAGCCCTTTTCTGCAGGACTATAATAAAGTTCATTGTCTGTCTGTCGTACAATCTCACATATGAGGTGCCGTATTAGCGCAGAATATATAGACACAGGAGTTTCAGGTGTTTGGCTACAATAATACGATGCCGGCCTCCGAACAACATACATTTTACGCCCTTGGTCTACACATATAGCTTCCACGACCCGCGGATGGTTGTCATGGCCGCGCGATACGGATGCGGTCATCGGAGAACGTCCAGTGCTTCGGCCTTTCGTTACCTGCGTTCCACGGAGACGTCGCGCAGCTCAGGCAGGGAACCGTGACACAACCCAGAAGGAAGCCTCCGCAGCAGCCAGGCGGTTGCTCGCTCTGCGGCTCGGCAGGTCCGGCGGCCGACGTCCAGCTAGGTCCAGCTGCTGCGCCGCGCAGAGCCACCAAAGCCGCGATTCCCGCGGCAGTGGCTGCCGCGTCCGTGCTACCCGCTGTCGTAGACGTCGTGCCGTCGAAAAGCGAACTGTGGGCCGTCGTTGTCGGCGCGGTGGAACTCGAGCCCAGTATGTCGCGGATGAGGAAGGGCGTCTTGCTGGGCGTCATCAGGTTCACCCGCGGAGAGGCGTACATCCGGTCTTCCTTTGAGAACATGATCGCGTCACTCAAGACTCTCCAGAGCACATCCGACGTGGACATTTGAGTCCTCCGCAAGAGAGCCGGCTACGAATGTCCGACCAGTCGAGTTCGACCGAGTGTAGCAACGGCCACGAGCCATGTTCGCTCAGCAAGTGTCTACTGAGTGCACCCGCCAGTTTTCTATAGCCTCGAGAACTTTTTGGTTAAATTATGGGATTAGACAAGCTCCAAGAAGACTGACAAGCGCTGAAGTGTATTTGTCCCCATTTGTCACCAGTTTTTAGACGGCAAGGTATTAAAGCACTCTTTAGACTTCGTTACTCAATACGTTGTCCGACGTAGAAGGTTACACAGTCCTCGACTGATGTGTTTTCAAGTCAACACGCCACTCGAGAGCACATATTTAAGGACTTCGAAGAAAGTGTACTTTTACCGATTCTATTCGTTCTGTAGCTTTTAGAGTGGCAACTACTGAATGCTTTACTAATATTTTTTTTAACTGGCACTTTCTAGGAGGAAGCCTCTCATGGCACGCAAACTGGCTACGAGTCGACAACCCGGAGAACCAGCCAATCCCGTTCGCGGACAGCATCCGTCACTCCCTCCTCTGAAGGGGGCGTTGACTAGGGAGTCATTTTGCCATTCAGAAAGGCGAAATGAGTACCGGTGCTCCATATCTCCTATTCGGGAGACCGTTTTATTCAATAGTCCATGCCGCTGCACCGGAGAAATCGGTTCCTTTATGTTTTCACTTGATTCGGCTTCGAAAGCATGGCGTAAAGGAGGGCCTTCGAAGTCGTCAAAGGCGGCGCCCAGCGCCAGTTTATTCTTGTAGAGTCGAAGCCTTCATTTCAAGGACGCAAAAAGCAAACGCAGATACTTTTTTTTTTTCACTTTAAAAATAAAATGGTAGGAAAGACTTCCGCGATAAATGTATGCGGTCTATAGACAGCTCTCCGCCCACATTTATCGCGTTTTCGAAGAGGCTTTCATCGTTCCAAACGCGCGCGAAATCTAAAAAGAGGCAGAGCATATATATTTTTTAAAGCAACCAAAATGCCTATAGATTCCGCGGAAGCGTACAGATCAATAGTCGTAAGTGTCACGAGGTGATGACAGTGGCATGCCTGGATGTACTCGTGTGAGTGTGTTTGGGGGGGGGGGGGGGGGGGGGGCTTTCGAAGTTTTTCAAGATAGCGATATATATACTGCGGGCGCATCAAGCGCGCGTTATTCGATCTAGACGATGACATTAGCGAACCTGTTATACCAAACCTTTAGACCAGAAAAGAGGCGGCCAGGACGTGTGATAGGACTCTGCGTGCCTTGAATGTCCCATTCTCTTTCTCACACAACGAACACTGCCACCCCTTACTATTCTCGCAAGTGTGGGCGAAGGCACTGCAGGATAGTTCTGGAATTCCTCTTCACGACTTGGGTGTGCACGGATTGTGTGCATACTAAGGTCCCAGCATTAACACCCCAACAAACAACAAGCCCTCACACAATGTCCTCGACCATTTCATTTTGGTTATAACGTTTTCTACCTCGTGTTTTAGGACGAGCAAAAAAAAGGAACGAAAATCGAGGTCTCACGGCGCGCCTTGGGGGAAAGCGTGACATAAAGATGAGACGGGGCAGGGGGGAGAGGGGGGCAGTTTTATCAACAAAGTCCACCGAGCACGTCGCGCCTGAACAGCACACGCGCTTTGAATGCATTATTGATTAAGTATCAATTCGTCATCAATGAGCAGCGGCTGAAAGGAGGCGGTGCCCTGTCCACGCCGCTTCGTCCCGATAGTATTCGAACCCGACACAAAGAGGGGGAGCTCATTTACACCACATCCCGGGACAGTTTCCATCGCGCAACGCGAGCCGTTCTGGTTGGATGCTCCGATTCCCGCCTAAATGCCGCCTCCAAACGACGCACTGTTGTTGTGAGCGCGTTCTATAATTCATATTTGCCACGGCTATTTTTAAACATTTTTTTTTCTTTTAAAAAGGGGAGAAAGGAAAAAAGTGCGACGGAGTAGATGGTGCGCGAAGCCACAAACGCTTTAAAAAGCACGCTATCGCGCTCCTCGCGAAAGTTGTGTGTGCCTTAAATTCTTGTTTGTTTGTTTTGTTTAGCTTACACGACTGATCCACTTCCCCCATCGTTTTGTGTTTGAAAAAAAAAGGTGCTTTCGGGTAGCGGTTACATTTCACATGCTGTTTGTTTGTTTGACCGTTAGCTGGGGCCCGACAACCACGTTTTTAAAACGCTCGTGTGACCGACGTGCCTCGACTCTGAGCCCCCCCCCCCCCCTCCCACCGCTGTGATAGCAGGATGCGATGAAAAGAGCCTACATGGAGAACTCACAATAGGATAACCGTCTAAACTGAGCAATAATACTATACTGCATGTTTTCGGTTTTGTTTACCGGGGTACCCTCATGTATGGGCTACTGGCTCGTTATCAAGAAAACAAACGGGTATCAAATAACACGAATAAAATAGCACCGTGCTGCTGTCTAGCGTTTAGGGGCAGGAAGCACCCATGGCAAAGAGAAGAATGCGCAGGGCATGCAAATGAAGCGTGCGTTCATTCGTATCTACGCGAGAAGCAGCGCACATTTTGAGGTCGTTCGGATGATTCCACACCGTTCCTAGCTCATCTCGTGGCACCGTTAAACATGATGTATTTTTTATTTGCTATTCTCTTGTTTCGTTTGACGATAGTGAATCGCCGTTCAGTCGCTCGCTCGATCAACTCGGGAAATTATTTCCCCACCAATGCCACGCACTGTCACATCTGATAAACGCGCCCTCACGTGAACGTCCCACTAAGTGTGCTCCGCATCTAAATATTGGTGTCGTCCCACGCCGGGAACACTACTATATATCGCTGATATACGAGTGCAAAGCACTGTATGGAAAGCTTAATGTTGCGTCCCACCGCACGTTTTGCGTTTGCAAAACTGGTTAGTTTTCCTCGTTTGTGTATAATGACTGGCATTTAGTTGAGCTGATTGCGTGCTCTCTTGTTCTTTTATTTTCTTGCTAGTTAATTATGTCGTTACCGGAGACAACGGACTTATGAGGTAATGATCTGGAAAATGATGTTTTCGACGACACACATTCAGAATGACGCCTTGTCCTTGAAAAGGAGCAGAATGCAACAATGACGCCTTGCCCACGAACAACATAGCGTTTTTTTTAAGTACGCAAGAGAGAAGTGTGGCAATTTGGGCTAGTTGGTATGACATGACGATAGCTATAGCGCGAGAACAAAACGACGACACAGAGACAAGAACGTGTCTTTCGTGTCATTCTTGTCTCTGTGTCGTCGTTTTGTTCTCGCGCTACAACTATCGTCAGGCAAGAGAGAACTCTGGCGCTATTAGGGAGCTTTAGAATAGCGCACCGCGAGCCCTTGTGGAGCCCTTGCGCTGCAACTGCGCATGTGTCGTAACACAAGTCGTGTTCGCGGACCGCACGCAGAAAATCCGAAATCGCGTGCGGCGATCGCGGCCCGCATGTGGCCCGCAAGCGCTGGTTTTGAGGCTACGATGTCTCTGCGATCATGCGTTGCGGTTTGCAGCAGGACAAACGCTATTCTGAAACTAATATGGCGCCCGCTACGCCCGCAACGCCCGCAGCGCTTGCAAATGGTATTCTAAAGCTCCCTATTGTCTACGGGAGCTGCAACGCGAGGAGCTTCAGCCAGCACAGGAATGACACGTATTTATCTATAGTATATTCGCTCTTTCGGCCACGTTTGGCTACGGTGGGCCTGCATCCGCTTCGTCGCATGATGGGAGAAAGTTCAGCTGTTTCAATTCATTATAGGCCCACGAATTCAAATCGGTTCACGAAATTCAAAATATCCATTCTTTCATGCGAAACAAAAGGCCAAAACATGCGAATAAATAAAGCCGCAAGTGTGTTTCAGAAGCGGCAAGCACGAAAATTGGGCAAATCCTAGCCATCATCACTGCCATGGTGGTTGAGCAATCGTAGCGCCAGAGTCGCCACTATAGTTAATATTGGGTAACTCTATGGTGAAGGAGGCCGTTTTCAGCCAGCAAACATATAAGACGGAGTAACTGAACTAACGACACTGGTGCCTATTCACGTAACAGGTAATCGGGAAATATTTCTTTTGAAGAGCAAGAAAGTTCCTTCCTCTTCAGATATGCGAAAAGCAAGTTTATTTTTTGTGCTGCATGAAATAGTTTTCTAAAAGCTGGAGCGAGGAACAACAGAAACTGCGTCCCAATTAGGCGTCGCATCTCTCGTTGATCAATTATGTGATGTACTGCTTAGCTTTCAGACTCATATTTGCAGTCTCGTAGCAAAAAAATTGATTGATTGATATGTGGGGTTTAACGTCCCAAAACCACTATATGATTATGAGAGACGCCGTAGTGGAGGGCTCCGAAAATTTAGACCACCTGGGGTTCTTTAACGTGCACCCAAATCTGAGCACACGGGCCTACAACATTTCCGCCTCCATCGGAAATGCAGCCACCGCAGCCGGGATACGAACCCGCGCCCTGCGGGTCAGCAGCCGAGTACCTTAGCCACTAGACCACCGCGGTGGGGCTCGTAGCAAACAAAGCTTCGTCTTGTATACATTTGCACGTCTACGAAGAGTTGGACTGATTTAGCCTTATTTAGTTTGTAATGTGACGCGAAACTTTATTATCAGACAAATATTGCGACTCTAAGCGTACCTCGTTCAGCAATACGCTTCGGTTGCCTTCGCAACAATCTGGACAGCTGTGAAAAGAAAGAGTTACCAAAAACCATATGTCTTCGTGGCGCAGTATACTCCTTTTTTTTACACTTGTTCCAACAGTGTTTCACTCACACAACAGCAAAGAAAGAAGCAAACGTGCGCTTATTCCCACTCATACACATTAAACGCGATGTCCTCAACGTGCTATCGAGGTTCCTACCCTAGAAGCGCTGGTAGTCATACACACACGCCATACAGATCAGTGAAAGTCGTTTGTGTTGGTCTGGCTCTG